CACTTATAACCAATCCGCCCTTACAGCACGGCGCCATGTCTGGCTGCGGATGTCAAGGACACCTTCGCCAAACACTTCGCCGCAGCTGAAAAAGCAACGGAGACTGATGCGCAAGGCCTGATAACCGAGGATACCATCATCCCTACTGATGCCCGGTGGGATGGCACTGCACTCCCGTCTATCGCGGCCCTGACCAACGGCTTCGCGACCCTGAAAAAGGCCAAAGCGTCAGGATTGTCTGGCCTGCCGGCAGAAGCCTACTTGGGTTCCCCTCTGGCGGCCGCGCTCAAATACTGGCCAGCCATCGTCAAGGAGCTCCTGAGGGATAGAACGGCCATTCACTGGCGAGGCGGCGAGGCCATCCCCATCCCTAAGCCATCCAAGGCGCCAGATGCCTGTACTGGGTACCGCCCGATCGCACTCCTCGAGACTGACAGCAAAGCGGTGCAGAAGGCCTTGAGACCAGCTGTGGTCAAGGCTCTCCAGACGGTGCAAGTGCCGGACCAGTACGGCGGCAGGCCTGGCTGCACCCTCGGGCTCCCCATTGCCTGTGTTAAAGCTCATTTTGACGGCCTCAAGCGCGAGGGCAAGTCTGGAGCAGCCATATTCTTCGACTGCACCACGGCTTATTATGCCGTCATCAAGGACATGCTGACGCTGACAGACGACCAGCGGGGGGACACGCAGCTATTACAGCACAGGGCGCGTCTGCTTTTTGTGGACACTGACCAGCAAGAGGCATTTATCAAGCACATGCAACAAGGGGAGTTGGCTTCCGCCCTCGGAGCTACTCCTGAGCTCCGGGCACTCATCCGCCAACACCTCAAGGACACATGGTTCGTTTGCCGCCAGGGCACAGGCCAGGTTTACAGGTCAGAATGTGGCACCATCCCGGGTGCCCCGCTTGCAGATGCCCTCTTCAGCCTAGTGTTTGCCGGAATCCTACGCGAAGTGAAGGTGCAGCTACAGGCCAACGGTTGGGAGCCGAAGTTCTGCAGCCGGCAAGGCGGCGCGGGGAGCACCCCCACTTGGGCTGACGACACATGTGCCCTGGTGTCCACGGCCGACGCAGCAGACGTAGTCCCCGCCATACAGACTACCACAGCCACCATGGTCCGCTGTATGGCAAGGGCGGGACTTTCGGCCAACTTCGGGCCCGGCAAGACGGAAGCCATGGTTGCCTACCACGGCAGAGGCTCTCGAGCCCCCAGATTGGCAACGTTGTGCCGTGAAGATCCGGTCATCACTCTTCCGCACAGCTCCATGACCGGGCACATTCGGGTTGTCCCTGAGTATCTTTACCTGGGGATACTCCTACGCGCTGATGGCCAAGAGCTGCCTGGGCTCAAGCATCGGCGATCGCAGATGCAGGCAATCTTCCAACCCTTACGAGCCAAGCTCCTATGGAACACCAGCCTCTCCAAGAGTGAAAAGTTGGAGCTCTTGAGAGGAAGAGTCCTGAGCCGTTTCTTGTACGGAGCAGGCCACTGGCTCCTCCGCACTGAACAAGAGCAGCAGGCGTTCCGCGAAGCGATCTCGGGCGTTTACAGGGGCTCCTTTCGAGCCATCCTGGGGGTGTCATCTTGCCGCTTTTCATGTGCGGAGACTGCAGCGGCTCTGGAGCTGCCATTGCCAGACGAGTGGCTGGCAACTGAGCGCGCCAAGCTATTGGTTCGACTGTGCACCCATAGGCTTAGTGGGGTCGTCTGGGAGCTGCAGCATGAAGCAAGCTGGTGGAATTCTGCTTGCGAACATCTGGCCAAGATGCAGCTGCTTGCCAGCAGCACGGCCGGCCCCGATGAGATGCAGGACATGCTTGCCGGCAAAGATGTTCAGGTGCGTAATGCCTGCCGGCTATACCTGAAACGAGCCTGCAAGCGTCGCCGGCTGCCGCCTGAATACATCAAGGAAAGGGCGAAGGCGGCTCCTATCCAGGTCCTTGCCCTGAAATGCGACCGCCTACCCTTCGCCTGTGAGGTATGCGGGAGCGCCTTTCGGTCCAAGCGACTCCTCAGTATCCACAGGGCCAACTCACATGGGCTCTTGGCAGAACACAGGTTGGTGTCGTTCGGCACCGCCTGTCAGGTGTGCGGGATGGAATTCTGGTCCGAGTCCAGGCTTTCCGGCCATTTAAAACACGCCCACACCTGCCGTAAAGTCTACCGGGAGTCAGACATTCACAGTGAGGCCGCTCCCGCTCCGCTCAACCAGGGGGAGCACGCTTGGATACCAGCCCGGGCCTTCCATGGTCCCCGCCCATGGTGGGCCACTTTGCGGCCCAAGGGTTGACACAGGCCCTCACTCTTTTAAGGCATGGCCAACATTTTTTCCAGGTGCGCTCAGCAAGCAGCGCTTTTGCCTCTCGGACATTTGCACGCGAATTGACCTTGCGCGACAAGCCCTAGCGAGCACGTTGAAAAAAAGGCCCCTGCAGTAGGCCTTGGGGCGTTGAGGCTTCATGTTCCGGGCTTCCGGAGAAAGGTTGAGGTGGAGAGGGCCACGCAAAAGGGGCCTTAATAATTAGAACAAGGTTTGGGGCCCATTATACTATAGTTATAAGAAGAAACCCCAAAATAGCATAGGGACTTGTTTAGGCCCCTGTATTACATAGAAACCGTCACCCCAAATCCCTAGACCCTAAACCTTAAACCCTGAACCCTAAACCCTAAACCCTGAAACCTAAACCCTAAAACCTCAACCCTGAACCCTAAACTCTGTATGTCCGCCACGCCTGCACTCTTGGCCAGCAGACCCGGCCTGAGGGGTGGAGGGCTTGGGGGGCTTAGAGGCTTAGAGTTAAGCTTTCGGGTTTAGGGTTTTGCGGTTTGGGGTTTAGGGTTTAGGGTTTGGGGGTTTAGGGGTTTAGGGGTTTAGGGTTTAGGGGTTTAGGGTTAAGTATTCTTATCTTGAAACTAGTCTAATAAAGTTCTCATACGACTACGTTTGTTGGGGTATCTGCTCTAACCCCTAGGATGGTCTCCATTGCAGTTCCTTTTTTTTGGTTTAACCACTTTTATAGTTTGGATCCTATAAGGTAACCCTGAAAAGGAGTACAATGGAGACTATAGGAAGTGTGCATGATGCAGTGTTTAGACTTAAGTGTTTAGGGTTTCGGGAATCGCTTGTAGGTTTTCTAAACTATCGAACTAGAACTTGGTTTTGAACAGCTTAGAGCTTAAGATATTGTTTAGGGTTGAGACTTGAGTACACGTGGCATAGGAAAGCTATCGGCTTGTCCTCTCGTGGGTCATTTGTCGGCATAGGGCTTTTCCCTTCAGTTCTTCAAGTTTGCCTTGTAGGCTTGAAATAAATTTCACAAAATAACCTACCTCTGCAAGGACTTCTATAAAAGAAATCACAGTACGGAACCCAAAAAAGGTAGGTTATTGGGGGCCCAGGAAGGGGTTCGGGGGTTTCCGAAGCCTCATCGGCTCCAGGGACGTCAGCGGTTAGCGGGTTACAGTAGGGTTTAAACATCGATAAGGGTGAAGCTCCTGATCCGTCTCCCACTCGAAGGCCAGGTCAGGGATGTTCGACTCCTTCACCCCCTGGCAGGCCCAAGGTTGCAGGGCTCATCGGTGTCCTCATATCTTGGGCGAGTTTCACGCTTCAGGGTTCAGGACTTCCAGGGTTCCGGTTCAGGGGTATCGGATCCTGAGGCTTGCAGAGCCACAATCAAAAAAGGAGCCCAGGTGGCCGTCCACTGCCCTGTCACTTTACAGTTTAGGGCTTTTTCGTGAGCTTGGGCAGACAGTTCCTGAAGGAGCCGTGAAGCCTATACCCGGCCTTCTGCTGGAGCAGTACGCTTCGAAAAAGCCCGCGCAGCTTCGCGTAGTCCGGTTCTTCGGCATAGCCTCGACGGGTGGCGGCAATGTCTGCGGCTGTATGTGCTTGTCATAGTCCTTATATGCACCGTCGTAGTTCACTCTCATTCTACAATAGCACATCACATCACGCCACTATAGAAGTACTTTGCATGCGCCGAGCTAAGATATGCCTCTAAGCCTTCCGACCTCCATAATGGTGTCTGGCACTTGCAAAATGTTCAGGGGCTTTCGTGCGCAGGCATGACTGCTTCTGCGTGTCGCGTGTGTTTCTCCGTTTCTGTCGGACTACACTTGGCATGATGTCATCCTGGTTGCATGACGACACCGATGTGTTACCGCACGCAGACATGACAAGCAGAGCAGCTCAGATCGTGACCCGTGTCAACATGTTCTGTAATTCAATCTGTTGGCCTTGGTCTGTCTTCGGTGTATTGTGGTGGTATCCCTTCACAGCTATTTTGGTCTTACAAATTGTGCACCTGCGATGCCGGACTGGTACGAGCATACTGGCATGTGAATATTTTGAGGTTGGGGTCAGAGTATTCGGATCAACCCGAAAATGTGCTGGCTTGCATGTGGCGTTCATAATACCCCTCCAGATCATGCCAGTTGGAAGGTCGTGTTGGAAGCGCCCACCGCTGCAAATGCACGAAACTTCGATGATCTTGCATCCATTCGAGTGAGGTGCCCAGGCTGCGGGCATACTTGAGGAAGGACGCAAACTGCGCCGGCTCCCCTTTGCAGAGCTCCGCTGGGGTGATCGACCTACAGTAGGCTTGAAAGCGAAGGCCTTTGGAAGGGCTTTGGGCTAGCGACGGCCTCGTTCAGGGTTCCGTGGACTTAGAGCTCGTATTGCATGCTACCGGCGAACGCGGGCCACGATGTTTTGGACTGCTGCCCTCTTCGAGTCAGGACTTCTTTCGCGGTGTGTTGAGCAGCATGCGAGGCTGAGTTGCTAGAAGGCCACTTTGCGCAGGGCTTAGCCAAAACAAACTATGTAAGTCCTTGGCATTGGCTGGCATAGACAGGGCGATTTCAGCGTCGACACGTCTCGTCATCTAGAGCCTTCGTATTTTCTGGGGGCAGCCTAATGTAGGGGCCTGCAAAAAATTAGAGTAGGGTTTTGGGACCCATTATAGTATACTTACAACAAGGAACCCCCAAAATAGTATTAGTAATTCCCTAGACCCTAAACCCTAATTGTTTACGCCCCTATACTACTTTCCCAGACCTGAAGCCCGAAGCCCCACTCCGATTCTTTGACACTTGCCTCCCACTCAAAAGGATTCCGTTAAGCGAAGCAACAAGACTATGAATTATAATGAGGACCCCCCCCCCC